ACCACACTTTCTAAAAAACAGCTGATTTCGAAAAACTGTCGCTGCCACTGCCACTGCGTTATTATATTTTGGGCTTTAAAATTAAATTGCTTGCGAACGTCAAGAATTTGAAAAATTCCTCTGAGCGGTTTTACCTTCCTATTTTTTTATCATGATTGGCAGGATATAAAATCCCTAACTTATTTAAAAAACTCACTCTGAAACTCCAACCTTAGTATGGAAATGCGTTCATACACCACAGGCTCCATTTGATGAAGACGCGCAGCTTCACCTGTCTTACCATCTTCTAGATAAGCTTTGTCAATCATTTGCTTGCTAATTATGCCAGGCTCGATTTCTGGATAGATTATCTCATCCAAAGATTTGAGATTTTCAAGCTTCTTTGAGTCGCTCATTTCAGAAGATTAAAAGGGGAAAGGTGTGGTCTTAAAACAATTGGTAGAGAAGCAGGTATAAAGGGCTGTAAAAAAGACAAAGAGTCGGGTGTTAAAGGCCGTTTACATACTACTTTTGCTTCGCTTTGCTTCATAATTCCGCCTTGACCCTTTGGCCATTTAGTGTGACATACATATACTTATATACATACATGTATGTATGTACATTAGGGCGGCTCAATCTGTATTTGATTTTTTCGACTATGCGCGTATAGCACAGCAGGATTCTAGACATAATTCTAAGCAAATTTGCCGAAGAAATCATTGGTCTAAAATCAATTTAGAGTTTGCCAAATTGCAAAAATAGGTTTCTTAGCATTTTGCTGTAGTGTCGTAAAAAAGTATTTAAATATTGTATAAAAACATACTATAATGGGTTTTTGGTATGAGAATCCACTTCTGCGCTTATCTTTTTCTTAAAACTTTCAAAAGAGAACGCAACAGAGAATGTGTTCACATTTTCTTCGAACCCCATTTTCGCAATTTGGCAAACTCAAAACTTTGTTTAGAATTACACGTGGAATCCTTCTATGCTATACGCGCAAAGTAAAAAAAAAAAATTAACCGCTCTATTGCACATACATATGTACATATGTATATTATGGTGCCCCGCAAAAAATGTTGCGGTTTTCCACCGGCACTATAATATTTAAGACTTCCGCCAAACGCCTTCCGGAAAAATGTTAGGATTTACGCGATTTGGGCAGATTTGAAAATACCTCCAAAAATCCTATTATTTTGATTCTGTTGACATGATTTTTTTTTAATTTTTATGTGACCCTCTAAGCATAAACTTTTTTTTAATACTTTTAAACAAATTTTATTTATAAACAAGTAAGAAAGTCTAAGTTCGGGCGGAGCCGAACATTAAATACCCGGCGCAAGTATTGAATATAAGTTTTTTCACCTTTCCGAAAGCTACCGCTAGATGATAAACCGGGGTGTACCAATTTTGAGTAGCATCCTTAAATTTCGAAATATTGCAGTTTCAAGCATTTCTGAAATTTACCGTTATATGAAAAGCGGCCTTAGTTTTAGTCCACTTTCAATAATTTTCAACGTTTTGCTTTTATGTGGCAAGCACAATAATCATACCGAGGTTGGTACAAATTGGTAGAACGGTTACCGAGATAGATATGTATATGTGATCATAAGTGGGCGGTGCCACGCCCATTTTCCAAAATTTTATCACAAACGTATTTCTTGGTTAAGAGTTGTTGCAAGCATAAAGTTTGAATAAATTAGCTTTAATATTTACTGATTTATCGAAGATTTTGTATTTCTCTAAATTACCGTTATATGGGATGTGGGCGTGGTTATTGTCCGATTTTTTAAATTTTCGGCCATTTAGTATGCTGTACCAAGGCCAACAACTGTGCCAAGTGTGGAAGAAATCTGTGCAGCGGTTACCAAGTTATACACATGTAACCATAAGTGGGCGTGGCTACGCCCATTTTCCAAAAATTTATAATATTCTTATTTTTCGTCTGAAAATTATTAAAAATATCAATTTTGAGTGAATAATCTTCAGTAGTTACTAAAATATCGCAGTTTTCGTATTTCTGGAAATTACCGCTATATGGGAAGTAGGCGTGGTTACATGTGCGATTTCGCCCATTTTCAATACCAACCTACCTTGGATTAACAGAAACCTACATACCAAATTTCGTTGAGATATCTCAATGTTTGCTCGAGTTATCGTGTACACGGACGGACGGACAGACGGACAGACGGACGGACAGACAGACATGGCTTAATCGATTTCTCTATTCATTCTGAGCATATATGTATACATTTGTCTATATCTATCTCGATTCGTTTTGGCTGTTACAAATAACCGTTATGTGAACAAAATTAATATACCCTTGTGCACAAGTGCGCTCGGGTATAAAAAACCGATAAATTGAGGTATTTTCAAATCTGTCAAAAGCATGTGAATCTTCATATCTTTCTGAAATATTTTGGTTCTCAAACATTCTAACCGATTTTATAATTCCGATGGAAAAACCAGATGTTTTTGTATAGAGTGATGCACCCTAATGTATATACATACATAAGTATGTAATGTATAATATATATATATATTAAATACATACATATGTAACACCTTAAACCGCC